ACTAGACTATAGACTAGACTATAGACTAGACTATAGACTAGACTATAGACTAGACTATAGACTAGACTATAGACTAGACTATAGACTAGACTATAGACTAGACTATAGACTAGACTATAGACTAGACTATAGACTAGACTATAGACTAGACTATAGACTAAACTACAGACTAGACTATAGACTAGACTATAGACTAGACTATAGACTAGACTATAGACTAGACTATAGACTAGACTATAGACTAGACTATAGACTAGACTATAGACTAGACTATAGACTAGACTAGACTATAGACTAGACTATAGACTAGACTATAGACTTGACTATAGACTAGACTATAGACTAGACTATAGACTAGACTATAGACTAGACTATAGACTAGACTATAGACTAGACTATAGACTAGACTATAGACTAGACTATAGACTAGACTATAGACTAGACTATAGACTAGACTATAGACTAGACTATAGACTATACTATAGACTAGACTATAGACTAGACTATAGACTAGACTATAGACTAGACTATAGACTAGACTATAGACTAGACTATAGACTAGACTATAGACTAGACTATAGACTAGACTATAGACTAGACTATAGACTAGACTATAGACTAGACTATAGACTAGACTATAGACTAGACTATAGACTAAACTATAGACTAGACTATAGACTAGACTATAGACTAGACTATAGACTAGACTATAGACTAGACTATAGACTAGACTATAGACTAGACTATAGACTAAACTACAGACTAGACTATAGACTAGACTATAGACTAGACTATAGACTAGACTATAGACTAGACTATAGACTAGACTATAGACTAGACTATAGACTAGACTAGACTATAGACTAGACTATAGACTAGACTATAGACTAGACTATAGACTAGACTATAGACTAGACTATAGACTAGACTATAGACTAGACTATAGACTAGACTATAGACTAGACTATAGACTAGACTATAGACTAGACTATAGACTAGACTATAGACTAGACTATAGACTAGACTATAGACTAGACTATAGACTAGACTATAGACTAGACTATAGACTATACTATAGACTAGACTATAGACTAGACTATAGACTAGACTATAGACTAGACTATAGACTAGACTATAGACTGGACTATAGACTAGACTATAGACTAGACTATAGACTAGACTATAGACTAGACTATAGACTAGACTATAGACTAGACTATAGACTAAACTACAGAAGACTATAGACTAGACTATAGACTAGACTATAGACTAGACTATAGACTAGACTATAGACTAGACTATAGACTAGACTATAGACTAGACTATAGACTAGACTATAGACTAGACTATAGACTATACTATAGACTAGACTATAGACTAGACTATAGACTAGACTATAGACTAGACTATAGACTAGACTATAGACTAGACTATAGACTAGACTATAGAATAGACTATAGACTAGACTATAGACTAGACTATAGACTAGACTATAGACTAGACTATAGACTAGACTATAGACTAGACTATAGACTAGACTATAGACTAGACTATAGACTAGACTATAGACTAGACTATAGACTAGACTATAGACTAGACTATAGACTAGACTATAGACTAGACTATAGACTAGACTATAGACTAGACTATAGACTAGACTATAGACTAGACTATAGACTAGACTATAGACTAGACTATAGACTAGACTATAGACTAGACTATAGACTAAACTACAGACTAGACTATAGACTAGACTATAGACTAGACTATAGACTAGACTATAGACTAGACTATAGACTAGACTATAGACTAGACTAGACTATAGACTAGACTATAGACTAGACTATAGACTAGACTAGACTATAGACTAGACTATAGACTAGACTATAGACTAGACTATAGACTAGACTATAGACTAGACTATAGACTAGACTATAGACTAGACTATAGACTAGACTATAGACTAGACTATAGACTAGACTATAGACTAGACTATAGACTAGACTATAGACTAGACTATAGACTAGACTATAGACTAGACTATAGACTAGACTATAGACTAGACTATAGACTAGACTATAGACTAGACTATAGACTAGACTATAGACTAGACTATAGACTAGACTATAGACTAGACTATAGACTAGACTATAGACTAGACTATAGACTAGACTATAGACTAGACTATAGACTAGACTATAGACTAGACTATAGACTAAACTACAGACTAGACTATAGACTAGACTATAGACTAGACTATAGACTAGACTATAGACTAGACTATAGACTAGACTATAGACTAGACTATAGACTAGACTATAGACTAGACTATAGACTATACTATAGACTAGACTATAGACTAGACTATAGACTAGACTATAGACTAGACTATAGACTAGACTATAGACTAGACTATAGACTAGACTATAGACTAGACTATAGACTAGACTATAGACTAGACTATAGACTAGACTATAGACTAGACTATAGACTAGACTATAGACTAGACTATAGACTAGACTATAGACTAGACTATAGACTAGACTATAGACTAGACTATAGACTAGACTATAGACTAGACTATAGACTAGACTATAGACTAGACTATAGACTAGACTAGATAGACTAGACTATAGACTAGACTATAGACTAGACTATAGACTAGACTATAGACTAGACTATAGACTAGACTATAGACTAGACTATAGACTAGACTATAGACTAGACTAGACTATAGACTAGACTATAGACTAGACTATAGACTAGACTATAGACTAGACTATAGACTAGACTATAGACTAGACTATAGACTATACTATAGACTAGACTATAGACTAGACTATAGACTAGACTATAGACTAGACTATAGACTAGACTATAGACTAGACTATAGACTAGACTATAGACTAGACTATAGACTAGACTATAGACTAGACTATAGACTAGACTATAGACTAGACTATAGACTAGACTATAGACTAGACTATAGACTAGACTATAGACTAGACTATAGACTAAACTACAGACTAGACTATAGACTAGACTATAGACTAGACTATAGACTAGACTATAGACTAGACTATAGACTAGACTATAGACTAGACTATAGACTAGACTATAGACTAGACTATAGACTATACTATAAACTAGACTATAGACTAGACTATAGACTAGACTATAGACTAGACTATAGACTAGACTATAGACTAGACTATAGACTAGACTATAGACTAGACTATAGACTAGACTATAGACTAGACTATAGACTAGACTATAGACTAGACTATAGACTAGACTATAGACTAGACTATAGACTAGACTATAGACTAGACTATAGACTAGACTATAGACTAGACTATAGACTAGACTATAGACTAGACTATAGACTAGACTATAGACTAGACTATAGACTAGACTATAGACTAGACTATAGACTAGACTATAGACTAGACTAGACTATAGACTAGACTATAGACTAGATAGACTAGACTATAGACTAGACTATAGACTAGACTATAGACTAGACTATAGACTAGACTATAGACTAGACTATAGACTAGACTATAGACTATACTATAGACTAGACTATAGACTAGACTATAGACTAGACTATAGACTAGACTATAGACTAGACTATAGACTAGACTATAGACTAGACTATAGACTAGACTATAGACTAGACTATAGACTAGACTATAGACTAGACTATAGACTAGACTATAGACTAGACTATAGACTAAACTACAGACTAGACTATAGACTAGACTATAGACTAGACTATAGACTAGACTATAGACTAGACTATAGACTAGACTATAGACTAGACTATAGACTAGACTATAGACTAGACTAGACTATAGACTAGACTATAGACTAGACTATAGACTAGACTATAGACTAGACTATAGACTAGACTATAGACTAGACTATAGACTAGACTATAGACTAGACTATAGACTAGACTATAGACTAGACTATAGACTAGACTATAGACTAGACTATAGACTAGACTATAGACTAGACTATAGACTAGACTATAGACTAGACTATAGACTAGACTATAGACTAGACTATAGACTAGACTATAGACTAGACTATAGACTAGACTATAGACTAGACTATAGACTAGACTATAGACTAGACTATAGACTAGACTATAGACTAGACTATAGACTAGACTATAGACTAGACTATAGACTAGACTATAGACTAGACTATAGACTAGACTATAGACTAGACTATAGACTAGACTATAGACTAGACTATAGACTAGACTATAGACTAGACTAGACTATAGACTAGACTATAGACTAGACTATAGACTAGACTAGACTATAGACTAGACTATAGACTAGACTATAGACTAGACTATAGACTAAATTATATACTAGACTATAGTGGTCTAAAAAATAAAAAAAAATTAAGATCTCCCCGACGGGGAATTGAACCCCGGTCTCCCGCGTGACAGGCGGGGATACTGACCACTATACTATCGAGGATGTTGAATGTGGTATGACAAATGTAGTTGTTTACTATTCCGTTTTACTTTGTAACCTTCTCTTCCTTATTAGCCATCAGATGTCACTGTTTAATATGAAATTCACCAAATGGTGGTGAAAAAAAAAATACAATTTTAATACTTGAATCAATAAAAAAGTACCAATTGGATTGTATTATTATTCCGCAGACAATTCGCATTTACCATCCTTGTTGGTTAGTTTATTTTTCCAACTGGTGAGAGACAGTAGAAATTTAGTGAAAATGAAAAACTATGAACTTTATCTTAGAAAATTAAATGTAATTAAACAATTAAGTGATAAATAACATATTAAACTAAAACTGTAACTAAATCAAATGCAAAAGGAAATGGAGTGTGCTGTTAAATTGTATAAATAATAAGTAAGTACCATTTAAAATGCTTAAAGACTGTCTCCCTAATATTTTTGGCGGTAAAATGTTAGAAAATGTTTTGTGGAGTCTCTATGAAAACGCAACAACAAATACAAAACATGTTTTTTTCGTTTTGTTTACAACAAATATGTTTAATGTTTACTTTTAATCATTAACTTAGTTTATAAAATTACATTTATTTATAACTTCAACATCACTTCTTCAACTCATCAAAGTAGGCTCCAGTCATTAGATCTTCTGTTTTAATGCCAAATTCCTTTATCAACTTATCAGCCACCGCCTGACCCTCTTCTATTGTCTGCTCCGGCAATAAACATACTTCAAATTCCATAAAATTACCCGAATCCTCCACCTTATCCAAGTGTATGCGTGTCCTCTCATACATAAACAAATAACGTTTCTTGGCCAAAACACCACGTACACCATTCGTTTGTGTTAGAATCTTCTCCATTACCTCCGGCTCATCAAGTTCGGTTTTATTGAATTTTGACAATTTTGGTCCGGCCACATCGGGACGATCATAGTAGACGAGTTGAGAACGTGCTGGGGGCTGTAGATAGCGCAGTTTAAAACGTCCACTTTGGGAATTAAAGAAAACATCACGTTGTACTATTAACTCTCCATTAGAGTTGGTTAGTTTCTTGGCAATGGCCACACGTTTTTCAAATTCTTCATCGGAACCAATGCGTGCCTTTATTTCTATGTTACGTTCATCAGCTGGTGCAGCTGCTACTAGGGATTGGGATTGCTTTGCTTCCATTATGCTGGAGAAATATTTTGTAAATGCGTTTGCCTTTGATGGAAGTTTTTTTAAAATGTGTCTCATTTTGTTGTGTGTTATTGTTATTGTTTTTGCCGGCCGGCATTAACCCTATGAGTGCCTAGGGGTACTTTTTAATGGTGTTAATTGACTTGTTGATAAATTTTTCATTTCCATGGACAATTTTTATACATTTTCAATTTTTATAGACAATTTTGATTTCTATAAAAGAATTTTGATAAATTTTCGTTTTCTACAGAAAATTTTCGATAAATATTATATTTTTAAACAATTTTTGATAAAAGAAGTAGAAAATATTTATATATATTACAAAAAATGTTCTATTTCTTTAGAAATTGTTCGATAAATCTTCTACTTCTTTAGAAGATTTTTCTATTTTTTTTTTTTTTAGAAAATTCTCGATAAAAACTCCATTTCTTTACAAAAAATGTTTAATAAATTTTCTATTTCTTTACAAAGTTTTCAATAAACTTTCTTTATGAAATTTTCAATAAATTTTCCATTTCATTAGAAAGTTTTTAATAAATTTCCTATTTCTTTAGAAAGTTTTTAATAAACTTTTTATATCATTAGACAATTTTCAATACATTTTTTAGAAAATTTCTTTTTTTATAGAAAATTTTCAACAAATTTTCTATTTTTATGGAAATTTTCAATAAATTTTCTATTTTTATAGACATTTTTCAATAAATTTTGTATTTTTATAGAAATTTTCCAATAAATTATCTTTTTTTATAGAAATTTTTTAATAAATTTACTATTTTTATTGAAATTTTTTAATAAATTTTCCATATCTTTGGAATGTTTTCAGTAAATTTTAGAAAGCTTTCAATATTTTTTTTATTTCTTTAGAAAGTTTTCAGTAAACTTTCCGTTTCTTTTGGAGATTTTCAATAAAATTACTATTTCTTTACAAAGTTTTCATTAAATTTTCTATTTCTTTAGAAAGTTTTTAATAAACATTCTATATCATTTTAAATTTTCAATACATTTTTTAGAAAATTTCTTTTTTTATGGACAATTTTCAATAAATTTTCTATTTTTATGGACATTTTTAAAAAATTTTCAATAAATTTTCTATTTTTATAGAAAATTTTCAATAAATTTTCTATTTTTAAAGAAAATTTTCAATAAATTTTTTATTTTTATAGAAAATTTTCAATAAATTTTCTATTTTTATAGAAAATTTTCAATAAATTTTCTATTTTTACAGAAAATTTTCAATAAATTTTCTATTTTTATAGAAAATTTTTAATAAATTTTCTATTTTTATAGAAAATTTTCAATAAATTTTCTATTTTTATAGAAAATTTTCAATAAATTTTCTATTTTTATAGAAATATTTCAATAAATTTTCTATTTTTATAGAAATATTTCAATAAATTTTCTATTTTTATAGAAAATTTTCAATAAATTTTCTATTTTTAAAGAAAATTTTCAATAAATTTTCTATTTTTATAGAAAATTTTCAATAAATTTTATAGTTTTATAGAAAATTTTCAATAAATTTTATAGTTTTATAGAAAATTTTCAATAAATTTTAAATTTTTTTAGAAAATTTTCAATAAATTTTATATTTTTTTAGAGAATTTTCTATAGATTTTCTATTTTTAAGAAAATTTTCTATTTTTGTAGAAATTTTTCAATATTATTTATATTTTAATAGAAAAAGTTCAATAAAATGTTTATAGAAAATTTTCAAAAAATTTTCCATTTTTATAGAAATTTTTCAATAAACTTTCAATAAATTTTTTATTTTTGTAGAAAATTTTCAATATATTTTCTATTGTTATAGACATTTTCTATAAATTTTCTATTTATATAAAAAATTTTCAATTAATTTTGTAAAAATTTCTGCTTCCATAAAAAAAAGTTTATATTTCATATGTTATTTTACACAAAAAAAGTGTATATATATTTACTTTTATTTTATATTTACTGCAGCTAGACATGGGTTAAAACTAAAACAGAGTTATTACATGTTAAAACAGCTGTTTCCCTTTAACAGGGTTGTTTTCATTTGCTTACTAATTCCCTGACTCACTAGCTACGTACATTATTTGTCAAGAATATTTCAACATCCTCGATAGTATAGTGGTCAGTATCCCCGCCTGTCACGCGGGAGACCGGGGTTCAATTCCCCGTCGGGGAGATCTAATATGTTTTTTTATTTTGCAATAGATGTTAGGTTAATTTTTATGTTTTTATTTTTTTAGATAGATCCTTTTGAAAATCATCTTAAACAACTCTGTATTTTTTTTAAATTCATATTTTATATTGTATTTTTATTTATTAGAGAATACTTAAGAAAACATTGTTAAAATAAATTAAAATTCTTAAAATACATTCTTATACATATCGCTTAACTTATATCTAATATAACAAACAATATAATTTTATTTGCAACTTGTACACCAACATTTATTATTCTCCTGACTTTCACTTCGCATCACTTTCACTTTGCCGTTTTTCTCAGGTGTTGTTTCCTTTTTATTGTCATAATCATGATCTTTAATGATATTGTTGTCACTTTGTCGATGATGTTGTTTATTATAGTTTATTAATGCCACCAATTGGGCCATTTCCGCCATGGATGCCATATTCTGTTTTAAAACCTTGTTCTTTAACTTGTTCTCAAATACTAATGCAATATTTCATATTGCAATGTATTTATATGACGATACTATTGCGTTGTTTTAATATCGAGTGTAAAAAAAAGGAAAATTACCCTTTTTTGTGAAATGTGTATGTATATCTTTTGTTTATAAATATTTCGAAATCTGTTAGATTTGACTCATGCTTTCGAGATGGGTTAAGAAGAAAAGATTTAAAAGAATTGATTCTTTAGGAATTTCAAAAATATTCATAAAATGTTTTTTCACAAGTCAATAGATATAAACTTCCGATAGGTTTTTGTCGTCCGTAGTTTTGGTTGCAATTATAATCTAGCTTTTAAATTCTAAATGAAGAATATTAATATTTAATGATTTAATTATTTTAAAACTCTGACTAAGACATGAATATGTATGTTTGTAATATATTATTACATTTTTATAAATATATACAGTAACGATCAGTTATATAGCAAATTTTTCTTGAAAATAACTATTGTTTTCAATCAATTTTTGTCTAGTCTAGTCTATAGTCTAGTCTATAGTCTAGTCTATAGTCTAGTCTATAGTCTAGTCTATAGTCTAGTCTATAGTCTAGTCTATAGTCTAGTCTATAGTCTAGTCTATAGTCTAGTCTATAGTCTAGTCTATAGTCTAGTCTATAGTCTAGTCTGTAGTCTAGTCTATAGTCTAGTCTATTGTCTAGTCTATAGTCTAGTCTATAGTCTAGTCTGTAGTCTAGTCTATAGTCTAGTCTATTGTCTAGTCTATAGTCTAGTCTATTGTCTAGTCTATAGTCTAGTCTATAGTCTAGTCTATTGTCTAATCTATAGTCTAGTCTATAGTCTAGTCTATAGTCTAGTCTATAGTCTAGTCTATAGTCTAGTCTATAGTCTAGTCTATAGTCTAGTCTATAGTCTAGTCTATAGTCTAGTCTATAGTCTAGTCTATAGTCTAGTCTATAGTCTAGTCTATAGTCTAGTCTATAGTCTAGTCTATAGTCTAGTCTATAGTCTAGTCTATAGTCTAGTCTATAGTCTAGTCTATAGTCTAGTCTATAGTCTAGTCTATAGTCTAGTCTATAGTCTAGTCTATAGTCTAGTCTATAGTCTAGTCTATAGTCTAGTCTATAGTCTAGTCTATAGTCTAGTCTATAGTCTAGTCTATAGTCTAGTCTATAGTCTAGTCTATAGTCTAGTCTATAGTCTAGTCTATAGTCTAGTCTATAGTCTAGTCTATAGTCTAGTCTATAGTCTAGTCTATAGTCTAGTCTATAGTCTAGTCTATAGTCTAGTCTATAGTCTAGTCTATAGTCTAGTCTATAGTCTAGTCTATAGTCTAGTCTATAGTCTAGTCTATAGTCTAGTCTATAGTCTAGTCTATAGTCTAGTCTATAGTCTAGTCTATAGTCTAGTCTATAGTCTAGTCTATAGTCTATAGACTAGACTATAGTCTAGTCTACTATAGTCTAGTCTACTATAGTCTAGTCTATAGTCTAGTCTATAGTCTAGTCTATAGTCTAGTCTATAGTCTAGTCTATAGTCTAGTCTACTATAGTCTAGTCTATAGTCTAGTCTATAGTCTAGTCTATAGTCTAGTCTATAGTCTAGTCTATAGTCTAGTCTATAGTCTAGTCTATAGTCTAGTCTATAGTCTAGTCTACTATAGTCTAGTCTATAGTCTAGTCTACTATAGTCTAGTCTACTATAGTCTAGTCTACTATAGTCTAGTCTATAGTCTAGTCTATAGTCTAGTCTATAGTCTAGTCTATAGTCTAGTCTATGTTAGAAAGCTAAATGTTAACGAATTTACAAAAAAATTGCAGCAAATAAAACAAATGACGAACCTGGAAAATATAGAAGTGGCAAATGTAGCAAACGTTGTGACTGATACCATTACAAAATGTTGTAATGCAAGTATGCCGAAAATAAAAGAATACAATAAAAGAAAAGAACCAGCTTTCTGGTGGACCCCGGAGATCAAAATGCTACGAACTAATTGTTTACGTGCGCGAAGAATAGCTACCCGTCACTACTCCGACGACACGCTTGTGAAGAAGTATCGAAAACTGAGAAAACAACTTAGAAACGCAATTAAAAGAAGTAAAATAGAAAAATGGAAGGCGATATGCAACACTATAGATGATGATCCATGGGGAAAACCATATAAAATCATAACTAAGAAGATGCATACTATGATGTCAATACCAGGTATCACAGAGCCAACATGGGCTTCAAAAATAGTATCTACATTGTTTCCAATAGATACACAAGGATATACATGCAGTCAAAAACTACAAAGTACTGGCAATATTGTCCCTTTTGATCTTGAGGAACTAAATAGCGCATGCCGAAAACTTAAACTGGGAAAAAGTCCCGGACTAGACGGTATCCCAAATGAAGTACTTAAACTAACAGGTGAGCTTTGGCCAGAGTTGTTGTTGGTAGCCTATAACCTATGCT